TATTATTATATATATTATATATTTATATGTATAATTATATTATATATTATATATAATATATATATATATATTTATATATATATATATATTATATTTATATATATATATATATATATATTATATATGTATATTATATTATATATATATTTTAAAATTTATATATATATATTATATATATATATTATAATATATTATAATATATTTTATATATATATATATATTACACACACACAAAACACACACACCACGTGAGGGGAAAGCAGTGAGAGTTGAGGTAACTCTAGGTTGTTATGTTATGGCAGGGTTTATTGTTTTCATTAGAACTCTGGCTAATACCTCTGAAATGACGAAGCTATCTTGTTTAATGGTGTCTGAAATGGCGACTAAAGATGACTCAAGGCATTTACGTCTGCGGAACTTTGCTTCTTTGATCACTAGGCGAGTCACTGGTTGGATGAGTTTCTGTGCTGTACGTGAACAACACATGTGTGCAGCGCAGAAACTACTACAACCATTTTATGACATTCACGGACGCCCACTTAGTGAGCAAACTTCCGTTTTTATCTGCTCTTTACCGCCTGCTTGTTCCACATTTGCCATTAACCGTATTACTAGAGCTTCACGTATATCATATTAGTATTCAGTTTGGTATACTATATCGTTAAGTGCCATTTTCCTCTTATAATAACGTTAGTTATTGTAACTCACGACATAGTAATAGGATTGGAACAAAGCATAGTACCGATGGGGTTTGAATCCATGGAGAGTGACATAGTAATAGGATTGGAACAAAGCATAGTACCGGCGGGGTTTGAATCCATGGGGAGTGAGTCGTGAAACTCCAGGCCAGTGCCCAAGCTGGCCCAGTGGCTTACGCACTGATCTGGAGTTTTACGAATCACTCCCCATGGGTTCATACTCCATCCGTATCGTGGTACGTTAATTATTCAGGAATGAAATTATTTTCAAGTCCGAGTGGGAGCTAGAGGCATCAGTAGATAATATTAATGCTGTAAGGCAACACTAGGGGATACCTAGTCCATAAATCCAATTATGAAGGTAAGAACAAGGATTAAGGATTACTGTGGTATCCTAGGTATGATAAATTAGACACATGTGAAACACTTGGGTATCTTTATTGTGGAAACGGTTCACCACACACTGGCTTCGTCATTCCAATACAAAGAAGAATGATGAATATCACGAGGAGTTTGAGGTAATCAGCCCATCAGTCTTATCAAGATTGATGAACTGATTACATTGACTCCAGGCTGAGGGACTGATTACATCAAACGCCTGATCTTCACCATTCTGCTTTGTGTTGGACTGATGAAGCCACAGTATGACGAAACGTTTCCACAGAAAACATTCCCAAGTGTTGCACATGTGTCTAATTTATCAACTTGTCGGTTCTCTGAACCATTTATCTACATGCCTAGGTACGGTAGGCAGCTGCTACAACGCTTACATCATACACAGCTGTGCCATCTCTCTACGTTAATCAACTTGAGACATACGTAGATCACATGTGTAAGCACAACCAGCTGGATACACATGACCACAGCCTGTGGTTGTGTGTAGCCAGCTGGTTATGTGGCTAGATTATAGTAAGTTTATATCTGTGGACCACTGGTTTAAATATTACCAGCGTGACCTGATTATGCATGCCTTAATGAAGGCGAATAAGTTATGAGGAAATAAAGACTTTCACTAAATTACACCTCGTCTTGAAACTAATTCTGCTAACTTGACTACATGCACCTCAGATAACTTTCCTCCTTCTTCTGGCTCCTCTCACCAACACTTTTTTTTTAACTATATTTTTTTATATTGTTTCCATTTGAGCTGGTAAATCAATCCTGTTATAATAATAATAATAATAATTAATAATAATAATAATAATAATATAATTAATGAATAATAATAATAATACAACGACCACTGCTACCAGCCCCTCTGAAAACGGTAGGCTTATCCTCAGGTGAAATACTATTACACTAGAGTATTATCACTTGATATTGTGATGTAGCTAGCCTTTGAAACAATTATATAGAGAAAATACTAGGTAGAGGAAGAGGAAGCAATACTGGTGTTTACCGAGTGTGATCAACCTTACTACCTCACATCCTGTTCTTGCTTGTACATACAATGACTAGGTTGGCATGTGTGGGTGTGAGCTGTGGGTACTTCGTATAAAAGGAGTGTGTTACAGTACACTTGTGGCTAGGCGAGAATTGTCTTCACTCCACATACCCTGACTCCAACAGTCTCAGAGTGCGCGTCTCGCATCTTCTACTGTCTTGGGCAGGGCTCGTTAACTTTATTTTAATGAAAAGATTCTCAAATATTAACTATTCCGTGCGCAAATAATGGCTAGAGAAATTACATTATTTTATATTAGCTAATAATGTAATTCAGTTCATTTTCTCCGCATTGTGTGTATCGTTTTCAGAACCTCTTAGTATGTATAGAAACGATACACATGCACTGCGTGTGTTGCAGAATCTGGAGACACGGATACGTGCACCAGTAGTTGCTGTCTGTCATTGACAAAGTGTAGATGTTCACCACAAGAGCTTAGGGAAGCTCTGTCCACACTTCAAATCGTGAAAGATACAATACTTATTGCACTTTTATAAGCTGACACTTGTGTGGTCTTCAGCATTGCAGACAGTGTTGACCATCTGTCTCGCCTCTCCCTTGCATAAAATATCTTTCCAATTTTAAAATTGTACTGGACCGATACAGACAAGTGTGACTAGAAACTGCTCAGTGAGGGACTGTAGAGCTATTGTAATGATCCTTACTAAATGATTACTTGGTGAGCTGATTAAAATAACCTGTTGCGTTCCACTAGGAGGCAGTGTCGCCGACCCCATGATTAGCGACGTATACGAACTCTTATGGAAACTTTAATGTCCACATTGTTTCCTGAATAAGTAACGAATGCTTCCATTAATATGACTGCTATTTATGTCTTACTCTGTTGGCTGTTTTGATATTGTTGGAGGATATTACATGTTTATAAAGTGCTTTCTTTAAGTATTCCTATTTGTTCCTGCTGTCTTTATTCTTTCGTGGCCGTTTGTAAGATTTGTATTTTTTTTATTAATGAATAATATGAAAGTTACATATGGAGGATCCATCTATAATGAAATTGTTATTTTTTTAAGTGGTGTGACTTTTAGGGTGAGATGTTGGTAAAGGGCTCATGTTCTAAGGAACTGGATTGCCCTTCCGTGCATCAAACCTAATTGCTTCCATTCCCCAGTTGAACGAGTATAATGCTTCACTGTGATTATAACAATATTAGTGTGTGATGTCCTGAGGTAATTCAAAATTTTATACCCGATTGTCGGTATTTTGAAGTATTTTATGACATATATTGCGTCTTGCAGGACTAAGAAGAACATAACGAAAAACACTCCAGTAGGCCTACTGGCCCATTCTAGGCAAAAGAATGATACACTTGCGGAATATTTGTGAATCTTTATTGAGGAAACGTTTCGCCAGATTCTTGATTACCTGTCAAACTGCTCTATTTGATTGGGTTAAAGTTAACATATCCCATTAAAATTTCATTTTCGTGTGTAGACGCCTGGACAATATCACCCCAAAATTTATCATGATCACTGTCGAGGTTTGGGGGTCTGTATATTACACCTAAGATTAGTTTTTCATGCACTTTGCGAAACAGCGGCCAAACATGGGTCCATGGACCAATGCTAACTAACCACCTTATGATGTATGAAGATACCTAGTTGGATGAATATTATTGTATCCAGCTGGCCCAGTGGCTTACGCTCTGTCCTAGAGTTTTACGACTCGCCGCGAGTTCAATCCCCACCCGTACCGTAGTTTGTTTACATTCTTGTTGCACCTCAAACTAGAAAGTACCTTCCTCCTTGTTTCGATCGTGACTCACATGATTGCAAACAAATCACAGAAAGGTTGGGGATCGAACCTGTGGCAAGCAAGTTCTACAAGTCCCAGGCCAGCGTATTAAACACTGGTCCAAGCTGGTATGAACCACTGGTTAATGCACAGGCCTGTGAGTTTTAGGACTCGATTTCCATGGGTTCGAGTCCCGCCCGTTCCCTGAATTCTTTTTATGCTACTGTGTAAGTACTTAAGTGAAGTCAAATCACAAATGTATACCATAATTATTAGAGAATTTATTTAACATAAAGTTAAGCTGAATTAACGGGAATTAACCTGTTCTTAACTCTATACAATTTATTTTAACGACGATGATGGTACTTTTTTACACCATTTGCAATTTTTATGATATTGTGAAGGTCTTATTTATTTCTTGTGTTGTGCATCATTCTAATTAAGTTTTAACATTAATTCAGTGTAATCCCGTCCGTACTAGTCATAAGAATTATGCTGCGTGTTCGTGAGCTAAGAATTATTTTGTCGTTAGCCTTTGTTGACGTTAGTGTTTTGTGTTTCAAACTTGTCCATCAGTAATAAATTATATTACTAAAATTCATTGTCATTTAAAACTGTAAATACAGCATCACTGTATTGTAGCTTACTTCTCCTCGCCCTTCCTATATATTTATCGGAGTACGGCTTCTTATTACGTATAAAGTCTTATACAAGTAAATTAGAAAATTGATGTTGCTACGATATAGCAGCAGTAAACATCGCTTAGAGTTTGGATTTACTAGAAGGAATAAATAAGTCTGAAAGCAGGTATACAAGGATATTTGCTGCACTGTATCATTTGAAATATATTAACTGTGATAATATCAGTATCATGACCCAATATTACATTATCTTCACAGATGAAACGATATTTGTTTTCTTCGTCAAAATAGTGATGGTCTGTCATTTATTTTCATGTCATTGTGAAATTATGAAGAGGTGCAAATAATTACGAACAGCGTATCACGTGTTATTAATAATAATGTACATGTTTTTCCCTCCATGAATTGTCTTCCCTATTTTATTGATGGTTTATTAAAATGTGTGTGTGTGGTGTGGTGTTTCAGGTGCGGTACTGCTGGACCTGGAGGAACGAGACCTGCCCAGCATCGCCTCCCGGGTGGTGGACAAGATGATAGCCTGCGACCAGATCCCTTCAGACCAGCGCGAGGCTGTCATCAGAGTCCTCCTCCTTAAACACAAACACATGAGAGAGAATCATTCCTCCTTCAGGCTCCCCTCCATAGGATCCAAGAACGCTCTAGTCGGGTAAGAGGCATTGCACATTGTAATAGACAACACGACTCACCTGAATATTAACCCACTTATATTACAGCAGACTTCTGCAAATTTTTAAGACTGGTTAGATTAATTAAGCTAGAAGAATAAGTCATAATAGTGTGACTGGAACAATTTACAACTATCCAACAATTTGAAGAGGAAATTTTAGACGACGTTTCGGTCTGTACTGGACCATTATCGATAGACTTGATAATGACCCAAGACGAACCGTCCGTTAACGTGGTCTGACGTTTTCTTAGATTAGTTGTAAATTAAGCTATTTTATATCACATAAATATTAGCAAAAGATAGGTTAAGTTTCGGTGCAAAATAACGAGTTAGAATATACAAAAATAATGCATAACCTTAGTTAAATATTTTCCTTAGCGAGGGAGGGGGGTGGGAACGAATCTTCGGGTGATTGCTCTAATATTGATACAACTGAAGTTTTTGCATTACATATGCTAGTGTGTTACCAGTTAGAATGTACGTTTTGTTTGTTTTAATTCAGCTCGGATGAGAAACTGCAGTCATCGGCAACAACTGCGAGTTTGGACGGTGGGATGCGATCGTCCGTGCGTAAAGCTGGTCTCTCCAACCTTTTCCACGTGAACACCTTCACCGGCATCCTCCGTCACAACTCCACTGATGACTCTAATAATGTCCTATCTAACGGCGGCATCTCCAAGGATCCCAACCCAGAGATTAAGAGAAGCTTCAGCCGCGATGAATCGTATACGCAAGTAGGTGTTCGCCTAAAAATTCTAATGGATATTAGTTTTAAGGCCTATCATAGGTCATTAAATCCATAATTCATTTGTACACTAACTTCATGAATATCCACATTTCTGAAATAGTATTTAATTTTTATGTATATACACTTAGATATATATATATATTTATATATATATATAATAATATATATATTATATATATATATATATATTTTAAATATATATAATAGGGAGGTACCACCTCTAGAACTGTCATGGGGACCTCATCCTCAGAGAAAAGAATAAATTTGCTTCAGGGAAAACTCGAGGTTTTCCCTGAAGCTGTTTGAAAATTTTCTCCTACCACCCCCTATATTTAAAGTAGGTTGGTAGACAGCAACCACCCAGGGAAGTACTACCGCCCTCCAGATAAACTGTGAAACAAAAACCTGAAAACTGTTTTGCATGAGGGTTTGGGATTGTGGTTTTTTTTTCTGTCTCATAAACACCCAAAGATAACGGGGAATCTTGCTACTCCACTTTACACTTTGGTCACACTTCACAGACACGCACATGCATATATATATATACATACATCTAGGTTTTCTCCTTTTTCTAAATAGCTCTTGTTCTCTTTTTATTTCTTCTATTGTCCATGGGGAAGTGGAAAAGAATCTTTCCTCCGTAAGCCATGCGTGTCGTATGAGGCGACTAAAATGCCGGGAGCAAGGGGCTAGTAACCCTTCTCCTGATAAAAATTACTAAAAAGAGAAGAAGAAAAAATTTATAAAACTGGGTTGCTTAAATGTGCGTGGATGTAGTGCGGATGACAAAAAACAGATGATTGCTGATGTTTTGAATGAAAAGAAGTTGGATGCCCGGGCCCCTAAGCAAAAACAAGCTGAAGGGGTAGGAGAGTTTCAGTGGGGGGAAATAAATGGGATTAAATCTGGAGTATCTGAGAGAGTTAGAGCAAAGGAAGGGGTAGCAGTAATTTTAAAATGATCAGTTAGGGAAAGGAGAAAAGAGAATATGAATGTGTAAATTCAAGAATTATGTGGATTAAAGTAAAGGTTGGATGCGAGAAGTGGGTCATAATAAGCGTGTATGCACCTGGAAAAAGAGAGGAATGCAGGGGAAAGAGAGAGAGATTTTGGGAGATTTTAAGTGAATGTTAGGAGCCTTTGAACCCAAAGTGAGAGGGGAATTGTGGTAGGGGACTTGAATGCTAAAGTAGGAGAAACTTTTAGAGAGGGTGTGGTAGGTAAGTTTGGGGTGCAGGTGTAAATGATAATGGGAGCCCTTGATTGAACTTTGTATGGGAAAGGGGTTTAGTTATAGGTAATACATATTTTAAGAAAAAGAGGATAAATAAGTATACACGATATGATGTAGGGCGAAATGACGTAGTTTGTTGGATTATGTATGGGTAGATAAAAGACTTTTGGTAGACTTCAGGATGACATGTTTATAGAGGGGCCACAGATATATCAGATCACTTTCTAGTTGTAGCTACACTGGAGTAAAAGGTAGAGGGGATACAAGGAAATAGAAGCATCAGGGAAGAGAGAGGTGAAGTTTATAAACTAAAAGAGGAGGCAGTTAGGGTAAGTTTATAAACAGCTATTGGGGGATAGATGGCTAATGAGAGCATAGGCAATGGGGTCGAAGAGGTAGGGGTAGGTTTAAAAATGTAGTGTTAGAGTGTTCAGCAGAAGTTTTGTGGTTACAGGAAAGTGGGTGCAGGAGGAAGAGGAGCGATTGGGGGAATGTGATGTAAAGAGAGTAGTAAGGGAGAAAAAGTTAGCATATGAAAGTTTTTACAAAGTAGAAGTGATGCAAGGGGGGAAAGAGTATATGGAAAAAAAGAGAGAAGTTAAGAGAGTGGTGAAGCAATGTAAAAAGAGAGCAAATGAGAGAGTGGGTGAGATGTTATCAACAAATTTTGTTGAAAAAAAGAAAAAGTTTTGGAGTGAGATTAACAAGTTAAGAAACCCTAGAGAACAAATGGATTTGTCAGTTAAAAATAGGAGAGGAGAGTTATTAAATGGAGAGTTAGAGGTTTTGGGAAGATGGAAGGAATATTTTGAGGAATTGTTAAATGTTGATGAAGGTAGGGAAGCTGTGATTTCGTGTATAGGGCAAGGAGGAATAAATCTTGTGGGAAAGTGAGGAAGAGCCATTTTGGGGAGTGGGGGGGAAGTTCGTGAGGCAGTAGGTAAAATGAAAGGGGGTAAGGCAGCCGGGTTTGATGGAAAAAGATAGAAATGTAAAAGCAGGTGGGGATATAGTTTTGGAGTGGTTGGTGCAATTATTTAATAAATGTATGGAAGAGGGTAAGGTACCTAGGGATTGGCAGAGAGCATGCATAGTTCCTTTGTATAAAAGGCAAAGGGGATAAAAGAGAGTGCAAAAATTATAGGGGGATAATTTCTGTTGATGTACTGGTAAAGTGTATGGTAGGGGTTATAATTGAAAGAATTAAGAGTAAGACGGAGAATAGGATAGCAGATGAACAAGGAGGCTTTAGGGAAAGGGAGGGGTGTGTGGACCAGTTTTTTACAGTGAAACATATAAGTGAACCCGTATTTGATAAGGCTAAAAAGGTCTTTGTGGCATTTTTGGATTTGGAAAAAGGGGTATGAAGGGGGGATAGGGGGGCAAGTGGGCAGATGTTGCAAGTGTATGGTGTAGGAGGTAGGTTACTGAAAGCATGAAGAGTTTTTACGAGGATAGTGAGGCTCAGTTTTGAGTAGTAGGAAAGGGGAAATTTTTTCCCAGTAAAAGTAGGCCCTTTGACAAGGATGTGTGATGTCCACCGGGTTTTTTATATATTTATAGATGGGGTTGTAAGAGAAGTAAATGCGAGGGTCTTGGCAAGAGGCGTGGAGTTAAAAGATAAAGAATCACACACAAAGTGGGAGTTGTCACAGCTGCTTTTGCTGATGACACTGTGCTCTTGGGAGATTCTGAAGAGAAGTTGCAGAGATTGGTGGATGAATTTGGTAGGGTGTGCAAAAGAAGAAAAATTTAAAAGGGGAATACAGGAAAGAGTAAGGTTTGAGGATAACAAAAAGATTAGGTGATGAAAGATTGAATATCAGATTGGAGGGAGAGAGGGATGGAGGAGGTGAACGTATTCAGATTATTTGGGAGTGGACGTGTCAGCGGATGGGTCTATGAAAGATGAGGTGAATCATAGAATTGATGAGGGAAAAAGAGTGAGTGGTGCACTTAGGAGTCTGTGGAGACAAAGAACTTTGTCCTTGGAGGCAAAGAGGGGAATGTATGAGAGTATAGTTTTACCAACGCTCTTGTATGGGTGTGAGGCGTGGGTGATGAATGTTGCAGCGAGGAGAAGGCTGAGGCAGTGGAGATGTCATGTCTGAGGGCAATGTGTGGTGTGAATATTTAATGCAGAGAATTCGTAGTTTGGAAGTTAGGAGGGGGTGCGGGATTACCAAAACTGTTGTCCAGAGGGGTGAGGAAGGGTTGTTGAGGTGGTTCCCGGGCATGTAGAGAGAATGGAGCGAAACAGAATGACTTCAAGAGTGTATCAGTCTGTAGTGGAAGGAAGGCGGGGTAGGGGTCGGCCTAGGAAGGGTTGGAGGGGGGGGTAAAGGAAGGTTTTGTGTGCGAGGGGCTTTGGGCTTTCAGCAGGCATGCGTGAGCGTGTTTGATAGGAGTGAATGGAGACAAATGGTTTTTTTAAAACTTGACGTGCTGTTGGAGTGTGAGCAAAGTAACATTTATGAAGGGATTCAGGGAAAACCCGGGAGCCGGACTTGAGTCCTGGAGAAAGGGAAGTACAGTGCCTGCACTCTGAAGGAGGGGTGTTAATGTTGCAGTTTTTAAAACTGTAGTGTAAAGCACCCTTCTGGCAAGACAGTGATGGAGTGAATGATGGTGAAAGTTTTTCTTTTTCGGGCCACCCTGCCTTGGTGGGATCGGCCGGTGTGATAATAAAAAAAAAAAAAAATATATATATATATATGTCGTGCCGAATATGTAAAACTGGTCAATTAGCAAGAACTCATTTAAAATTAAATCCATTCTAAAATTTTCTCTTATACGGGTTTTAAAAGATATATTTTTTTCATTAATGTTAATGTAAAAATTTTACTTTTGCACTAAAAGAATCTTAAAAAACTTACCTAACCTTTTATAACAAGAACAATTTATTTTAGCCTAACCCAACTAAATATATTTTAGATTTATTTTACAATAATTTAATACTAAAAAAAGCACAGTGAAATATTTTTTTCGTTAGGTTTAGATTGATTTTGGCGAAATTATTGCATACACAAATTTTCTCTTGTCCTGTATGGCAAGAAAGAGCGTTGCTATTTAAGCCACGATCGCAAGTTCTGCCTATTCGGCACGACATATATATAATATATATAAAAATATATATAATTTTATATATGTGTGTGTGTGTGTGTGTGTGTGGGTTGTGTGTGTGTGTGTGTGTGTGTGTGTGTGTGTCGTGCCGAATTTGGCAGAAATTGCGATCTTGGCTTAAATAGCAACGTTCATCTTGCATATAGGACAAGTGAAAATTTGTGTATGCAATAATTTCGCCAAAATCATTCTGAACCTAACGAAAAAAATATATTTCACTGTTTTGTTTAGTATTAAATTATTGTAAACAAATCTAAATATATTTAGTTGGGTTAGGCTAAAATAAAAATTTTTCTTGTAAATAAGGTTAGGTAAGTTTCTAAGATTCTTTTTTGGAGCAAAAAATTTAAATTTTTTTTCATTAACCTTAATGAAAAATATATATCTTTAAACGTATAAAAGAAAATTTTAGAAAGGACTTAATTTTAAATGAGTTCTTGTAATTGACCAGTTTTAAATATTCGGCACGACATTATATATATATATATATATTTTATATATATATATATATATATATATAAAATAATATATATATATATATATATATATATATATATATATGCGCTCTGTAAATGGGGCTGCAAGACCTTTGTTGGGATACGATATACTGGTCCCCTTCCTGATTGTAT